TCATATCATTTTCTGCTCGTAAAGGTTCAATACGTTCCCACGGTACATATTAGAATCCGCTCACTGTGCCCCAGACTTTTCGACCTCCTTCTAATTCCTCAAGCATGCAAAGTCACTCCCTGTTAACTGTCCCCCACACAGCTGCTGCTTCACCGTGGCGGTGCCCTACCCACCATTAACCCACAGCCCGCCAGTCCATGTAGATCCTCGACGCCACTTCTTCCCAATGTCCTCCTCTGACCCTGCAGGCTAAATAGGCCCTCTTGTCATTCGCTTCCACCTGTGCTTCTGCTTCACAAGACTTAGCTGGAATTTGTGATTATGAAGTCATTTGCTTTATGTCTGCCCCGTCCATCTTCTTCACTGTTAAACCGAGCATCTGGAACAGGGACTGGCACGTAGTAAGAGCTGAGCAAATATTTGAATAAAAGAATGAATGAATGAATAAGCAAGTGCAGTGAGGGCCCAGGAGAGGAAGCGATGGTTTCCAGTACCACCTGCTTAGTACTCTACACACCCTAAAACCGGCACACCGAGCCCCCCACACCCGGGGCCGGTGGAGGAGGACAAGGCTGCCGTCTCTGTCCGGCGCTGTCAGACCTCTGCCGCTGATGGGATCATCTCTAAATTTTAAAACTCTTACTTCTGAAATAATTCAGACTTAAAAGTAGCAAGCATAGTACAAAGAATTCTTATGTACTTTTCACTCAAACTCCTTAAATGTTAACATTTTACTGTTTGCTTCATCAGTCTCTGTATTTCTCCTGAACTATTTTAGAATACATTGCAGACAGAATGCCCTTGATCGCTAAATACTTCAGTGTGTACTTCCTAAAAAAAAAGGCATTTTCTTCTTTACAATCACAGTACAATTATCAAAAACAAAAAATTAATATGATTACTTCATCTAGAAACTTATTCATAATGTGTTAATTGTCCCACGTGTGTCCTTTATAGCCAAAAAAAAAAAATTTTTTTTTCGGGTCCAGAAGTCAATCTAGGATCACATGTTGCACACAGCTGTTGTGAGTCTGGTCTGCTTTAATCTTGAAACAATTCCCCAGTCTTTGCCTTTCGTGATGTTGGCATGTTTTGAGTACAGGCCAGTTATTTTGTGGAAGGTCTTCATTGTGGGTTTGTCTGATGTTTCCTCATGATTAGATTCAAACTGTGCATCCTGGAGGCAGGAATCCCTCCAAAGAGGTGTTATGTCCTTCTTAGAGCATCACATTGGGAGGTACATGTCCCGTTATTGGTAACATTGTCACTGATCACCTGATTAAGATGTTTCTCTTTTCCCTTTTGTAATAAGTTCTTGTGAGAAGATACTTTGAGATTACGTAAACATAGTGATAACCAGCATTTGTTTAAACATTAGCCAACTCTACTCTGTGGTTCAACTAATTCTCCATTTCCTTGGGAAAATGCTTAAGGCCTGTTAATGGGTAATGAAATAGCTAATCATGCAACTTTTCCAGGTATAATGGCCTATTAATATTTTACCTAACCTTCTCTCACACAAACCAACCAAGGAAACTATTTTTAAAAGAACACAATAAAATAATCTCATTCCTTATTCATCAGACAAGAAAGCTGAGGCCCAGACAGGCTAAGTGACTTGCCCAAGGTCAAACAGCCACTCAGTAGCAGAGCTGAAAATAATTAAGGGCTCACGGTAGAGCAAGAAAGGCAAAAGTCAGTTCAGAGTCTTTCAAGTACGTAAGCCCTGGGGGTGCACCCGGAGCAGGCTACGGCGGGTTTTCCGGGACCACTTTTGGAAAGTGATGGGATTCCTGCGCAGGCCACGGGAGGGCAGGAGGTCTCCCACGGAGCCAGCGCCGTTTCCAGGGAAACAGGCGGCTCACTGCTGCGTGCCAGTTCCCTCTTTCTCTTTTTTTCCTCTCTTGGAAACACTCAAATCATTGCAAAGGCAAAAAAGAAGAGTCTCATAGCCCGGGGAAGAGCCTTGCCCACAACGGGCTCCTCACCTAGAAACACTCTATGCTGGCTGCCTGTTTAATTCCAGTCAGTATCTTTCCATTTGTTATTTCGCAGTTGCATGAGGTAGGTCGGTCATAATCTTACCGTATTTTACAACCTTGAGGATAGTTGTTAATCTGCCCAAGACCATTCCCACCTGGACTTAATACAGAAGCAAGCAGCCTGTTCTGCAATGCCCTGGGACTTCTTTTCCAAGGTAACTATTTTATTAAAAAAAAAAAGACAGGTTTCAGGAGTTGGAACTGCGGTGTGGACATCTGCCCAGGACACAGGGTGGCCCTAGGCTGCAGCACGCCTGCTCTGCTTCCTCCAAGACTTTAGAAGCAGTGGCGATGTCACGCCCGGCCATCCAGGACCCCAAGGTACCACTTCTTCATAGAAGTTATTTGGAGACATTTAGCGGTGTACCCAAAGCTATGAACCAGAGGTAAGGACTATTCAGACATCCTGCATAATCTTTCTCTGCAGAAGGTGTCCCGTTACCTCTTTACTGCTTCCTGAGAGGCACAACATGCATATAAAAATAGAAGTGATGTTTTAATGAAGGGTTAACCCTTGATCAGGACTTGGTATAAAGTAAGCAAGGTATATTTTAAAAATTATAAAAGCAAAGATACAAATTGCTAGGGGCTAACACTAGTAACTCAGCTACCGGGGACACAGGACCATGTCTGCTGTGCTAGGAGTTACGAGCAGCAGCAGCCGTACCCGTGGCAGCGGCAGGACCAGTAGCCGGCGTTCACGGCAGGTTTTCCGTGTACCAGCACCACTGCGTGCTCTAGACAGAGCACCCCATTTAGTCCTCAGCATCATCTCCGTGCTCTTCCCACCTCATACAAAGTCAGCATAAAGTAAATAGAACACTGGGAAAATGTAGACTTGATCTAAGATGCTAATCCTGCTCTGGGGTAACAACTGAATAATCCTGGAGGTGTAGACCACCGAGAAGTTATTGCTGACTGACATACTAACTCACTCCCTCACTTCTCTCTCGTCACTGTATGGGCGAGGTCTTCCCTGCTCGTCCTATATAGAAGCATCAGCCTCCTAACCCAGACTTGCCTGAGTCTCCTCATTAAACTCTAAGCTCCACGAGGACAGGGACTTTGTCTTCTCAACTGCTGTGTCCTCGTACCTAGAACAGCACCTTGTCTGTGCTAGGTTTTTACCGTGTTATCTGTTGAAGGAATGGATAACGGAATACTTGATGAACAAAGCCAAGCTCTAACAAAGATTACACTTTAAATGTGATTTGCTTTTACTTCTCGATCATAAAAGGGTTCTTGTGACATGACTTGCCAGAGTCTCTTAAAAAGCTTGGGTATGGAATGCGTGAATGCTGTGAGTCTAAGAATGTCCCTATAGCTCGCATGGATGTTCAAAATCATGCTGTTGGCTATGCTTAAAAGAAAAAAAAAGGAGAAAAAGCCCGTAATTCCATTTCTAGTGACTAAACAAGCTTGAGCATTAAGTACCTAGTTAAACACTAGAAACAAATTTTAAATTAGTCAAGTCCCTTCATCGTTGAGCAATGCTCTCTGAACACATACACGTGCCAGCACCGAAGTGACTAGAATTAAAAACATAGTGAAACACGAGGGTCAATGACCTTCCCCCGATACGGGACATCTGCTCTCCCCGACGGCCAAACTCTCCCACGACGGCTTTCCAAAACTCAACAACTCAAACAGGATATTTAGTCTAACTGACCTCCTTGGCAACTTGTATTTCTCCTGCTACTGGTAAGGCAGATAAAGAGAACTGAAGATTATACTTGTCATGGAGGGAAAAATGGCATAACCCTGTAGACATTTAAGAAATTTGTAGAAAAAAATTAAGGGAAAACTTGCATTTTTGAATGAACAAAAAAAAGGGCCTATATGAGAGTCTAGGATAACTGGGTAACTGGGCTTAAAAACCAGGAATTTTAATGTGTTTACAGTTTCAGCAAAAAGTGCGCTCTGGCCACTCATCGCACAAGCTTGTTCATTTATCACGGCTCCTTGTGAACAGAACAGCTACTAAGTTATTCAGATGAAAAAAAAAAACCTGTCAGTGATGTGACAAATTCCTTATATATTTACTTATATGGAAGTGTTATGAAATTTCACTGATGTTGTTAGAGCCCTGAGCGTTACTTGTTTTAACTTTTTTTTCCCCTGAAAGCAGAAACTGAAAGGGAAAGTTGTATTATTACATGATGCAAATCCTTTTCTTCAGATACCTCTAGCTTAGGCTAAACGTTCCAAGGGTAATAAAACTATTCCTTTCTCCTCTAAAACAGTTTTATTTTTTTAAAAAATGCTGTTAAAATGAGGGAATGAAATCACATTTTATTCATAGCATTTTTCATTACTATCTACCTCCAGGAAGACTATGTGACATTAAACAGTGATGAGAAAAATGTTTTGACTTGAACTCACACTGAAACTATAACATGCTTTCAGTGTGCGCGCCACTCTTCTGTAATTATTTGTGGCATAACGCTCATTCTGGAACAAAGTGGTTAACATATACTTTTAAATACTGGTGTCAGAGAAAACATGCTTTTAGTTATTTCAAAGCTCTGAAAGCAATCACAGAAATAGAATCTGTAAGCAGACTTGGGATATGAGGTTAGATGGGAGGACTGTGCACCAGCCTTGCTTAAATCCTGGTGATCAAACTGGATTATGGTCACAAACACGTATCGGTTAAAAAGAGTTTGGCTGATATAAAAGTCAATGCAAAGTACAAAACTTACATATTAACATACCGTATATTTCTGATGGGCTTCTGAACACAAACATGATTTTTAATTTGGCACAAAGAACTAAATCTAGACATGTTCAATAAACCTGTCGGTCCATCTGATTCTGCTTCGCTCCAGAAAAATTCCTTGCTAAATGTATCCGCATATTAATTGATTCTATTTCAAAATTTGGAATGAAGCTGTTTAATGTTATCACGCCTTCAATCCTTAAGTGACAGCAAATTGTATTCTAAATTACAATACTCACAGCTGTTGCCTGCTCTGCTACCCCTCTGTCCAGCTGAATGTTCTGGCTCCTTGTATGGAAACTGCAGAGTTGTATCCAAGGTTCTGAACCCTTCTTTGAGAGAGTGATGCTTGTAGTACTCCACCAGCTCCTTTAGGAAAAAAGAATCAAACACATGAGCTCCTTGACACATCAATATATACAATACACTGCTAAATTTTCCATAAGCACATGGAAGAGTAAGTAAATGATGATCTCCCCATGCTGTCTGGATGTACATGACGCCTGGCGAGTAATGGTCCTTGCTCCCCAGGCCATTCGGAATATGAGTTACCGCCTGTTGTTACTCAACATCCTGTTAGTCTTCAGTCAGATGCAGTAAATGAAAAGAAACCATACTAGACCCCCATTTCAGAATAGTAATTATTGTTCTTATTTATGAAATACTTCCCTTTATTTTTGTTTAGAAAAGCAACAGCTGCTTTATGCGTATATAGCAATTTCCAGTTCCCTGCGTTTTCCTTCAGCATGGCAGAAAAACCAGCCTGATCCTGAATGTACTCTCCCATGGTAAGTCAAAGCGGATAAACCGCAAATGCCGCTCGACGTTGCTTCTGACTTAGAAGTGTTAGTGCCCCCTCCTGGCTCTGTGCCGTCTGGTCCTTACCGAGGCCAGTAATGTAGTTCTTCCCAATTTCCCCTTACACCTAAAGCTGCCTTAAATACATCCAAGCCTAACGTAACAACCACCCAGCATCTTTGACACTAAAATTTCGGGAAATTTCTTTTGAGATGTCAGTTTCACAGATTCTGCACAAATCTGAATCCGTCTACTCTAAACAGAAATTGAATAATGATTAAACCACACTGGCAAAATGCATATTATCACTAGATGAGCTACTGCAGCTATGTTTCTTAGAGAAACCTGAAGTGAAAATGAAAGCAAAATCACTCTTCACCTAATCATTCAGTGCTTCTGCCTCAGCACTAGTGTTTAAAACAGCGTAAAAGCAACTCTTTTTTTTTTAAATGACACGGTCATCAACTCAGTGCCTCCATTCAGTGGTTCTGTTCAAAGTTCCCAAAACAACTCAATCGGGCCAAAAATCACCCAAAAGAAAAAGAGACTCATCAATGATGGATGTATTATTTGTGACCAGACTCAGATGAGTTGTGGAGTGCATTGTGTGGGGAGTTCCCGGGCTCCGACGAGTTCTCACCCTTGAAGGAAAGTGAAGGGTTATGAGAGTTCAAAGGCAAGAAAGAGAACTTCCTTCTCTGAATCCAGTGGGGAGGTTGAGGGGAGAGTTGATGGTGGGGGGTAGCTTGGCTTAAATTGAAGAACAGGTAAAATTTCAAAAGCCAGGAAGGAAGGATTAAGTAGAACAGTCAGGCGGGGAACAGACACAAAGGTAACAAAGACCACGTTCGTAAACTAAAAGCAGCGTAGTTTGGATAAAGTAAGTGGGGATTTCTCACCTTTCATGTCTGTTAAATGGGGATAATAAAACATTTCACAGGTGAGATGTATCAAGGGCCTGGTACGTGTGAATCATCATGGCTACTGTGAGCCCACATGCCAGGTCTTTTACACAGTTTCTTACAGTCTTCACAAAAGAAACAAGAGCCAGGCCTTGTCCCCAGTGATGCTCAAGGCTCGGGGAGGTTTACTCAGCTTGGGCAAGGCTGTACTGCTGGTGTCTGTCTCCAAAGTTTCTGCTCTCAGCTACACCATACTATTAGCAAATGGAACCTGGCAAACATAACTACGCAAAAAGGGAGGCAAAGAGAAGGACCATTTGCTAAGCATCCATGGGGTATCAGGAACTTTGTTGTCTTAGATCCAAA